AGAGTAAAACCAGAAGCTTTTGAAGGGAGAATCTGGGGAGGTACCTAAGGTATGTACTTACCCAGTTTTGATGAACGAGTTTCAAGTTGTTCAATATGATGATGTGGACACACTCCTTGTACAGGTAATGCTAATCATTTTTTTTCTTTTAGATCAATGTCCATTCTGGCTAACTTTTTAAATAATTTTATGCGTAAAAGAAAATTTGTGTACATAATTTTAGATTTCCGAGGATTTTGGATGCTGGCATTCCAAATAAGGGATGCTCAACCTGTAGTCCTCTTAAGTACAACAATAGCAATTCCCATCACCAATCATCAGGGTCCTGCTCTGAGCAGAAAAGCAAACTCAACAGCAGCGTTCTAAGAAAGACACCAGTATGGTGTCACAGTGTGCATCTACATTGTAAAATTAATGCAGGTCAACGACACTTTAATGGCTATGGTTCCATGCTATGGAATTATGGGAGTTTGCAGTTTTTCAAGGCCTTTAGTTATTTTCTAAATTTTAATCCCATCTTTCTCCTGATGAAGCATATCTGGACTTCAGTAAGGCCTTCGAGAAGGTTCCCCATGACCTTCTGGTAAACAAACTAGTCCAATGTGGGCTAGGCAAAACTATGGTTAGCTGGATCTGTAATTGTTTAAGCAGATGAACCCAGACGGTGCTCACCAATGCTTCCTCTCCATCTTGGAAAGAAGTGACGAGCGGAGTGCCGCAGGGTTCTGTCCTGGGCCCGGTCCTGTTCAGGATCTTTATTAATGATTTAGACGAAGGGTTAGAAGGCATGATTATCAAGTATGCAGACGACACCAAATTGGGAGGGATAGCCAATACTCCAGAAGACAGGAGCAGAATTCAAAATGACCTTAACAGATTAGAGAGATGGGCCAAAACTAACAAAATGAAGTTCAACAGTGACAAATGCAAGATACTCCACTAAGGCAGAAAAAATGAAATGCAAAGATACAGAATGGGGGACGCCTGGCTCGAGAGCAGTACGTGAAAAAAAGATCTTGGGGTCCTCATGGACAACAAGTTAAACATGAGCCAACAATGTCATGTGGCAGTAAAAAATGCCAATGGGATTTTGGCCTGCATCAAAAGGAGTCTAGTGTCTAGGTCAAGGGAAGTCATGCTCCCCCCTCTGTTCTGCCTTGGTTAGGCCACACCTGGAATATAGTGTCTAATTCTGGGCACCACAATGGAAGAGAGGTATTCACAAGATGGAATGTGTCCAGAGGAGGGTGACTAAAATGATCAAGGATCTGGAGAACAAGCCCTATGAGGAGCGGCTTCAAGAGCTGGGCATGTTTAGGCTGAAGAAGAGAAGGCTGAGAGGAGACATGATAGTCAGGTATAAATATGTGTGAGGAAATCATAGGGAGGAGGGAACAACCTTCCTTTCACTGCCCTGGAGACTAGGAAGTGGAAGAATGCCTTCAAACTACAGGAAAGGAGATTCCATCTGAACATTAGGAAGAACTTTCTGACTGTGAGAGCCGTTCAGCAGTGGAACTCTTTGCCCCAGAGTGTAGTGGAGGCTCCTTCTTTGGAAGCTTTTAAACAGATGCTGGATGGCCATCTGTCGGGGATGCTTTGAATGCAATTTTCCTGCTTCTTGGCAGGGGTTTGGACTGGATGGCCCAGGAGGTCTCTTCCAACTCTATGATTCTATGAAGGAACTCTATACAAATTAAAAGCAGAGCAAAAGCATGTAAATATTAATTTAAAAATAAAAAATAACATTTAAGTATTTTGTGTCACAAAGCATACAGATTAAAATACATTCAAAAACAAAACTACACAGCATCAGCCACCCCAAATCCCATTCACACCATTCCCAGCAGCTTTCCCCTCATCGTATTTTATTTATGTATTTACATTACTCTTCTCTGGCAAAGAGCACTGGCGCCTTGCTAAACTACCAAGTCCAAGATTCCATAGCATTAAGTCATGACAGTTAAAGTGTTGTCAAAGTGCACTTATTCTACCATGTAGATGCACCAATTGTTAGAGCACAAGTGGGAATAATCTGAACCATGATTTGGGGCGGCAACTCCCATCAGCCCTGGTCAGCACAGTCTATGTTGAGGAATACTGGAAGCTGCAGTCCAACAATATCCTGACAAAGTCGCGACTGTGATGAGAATAAAAATGACTGTCTTGAGAACCTCGACAGAGAGAAAGAATATGAATGTAAAATGCCAATAAATTATTAAAAATAAATGCATGTTCTGTTCCCTTGAAAATGTGTTAGGCCTCAAACAACCCGAGGCAGCACCACGGTTGCCATGGAAATCATGCAGTCCTGAGCTGAACCAGAAGTGGATGCTGATATCGGTTGAAAATGCAAACCGGGATCTCTCAAACATTAATCTTAGAATTGCTTGGTTAACAGGAAAATTAACCATAGCATTCTCAACCAGCATCAGGAACATGCAGGCAAAGCAAATCCCTATCCACATCCTATTAACACCCTGTCCATTTATTTTTATCAATGTCTTCTGCAGTATTTCTCCTTGTTTTGAAAGATTTCAATAGCAGCATATTGATTGAAATGAAAAATGGGGTTTGACTGTACGAGTAATTGCTTAGGCCCCAGTCCTATACTTTCAATCATATATTTTCTTATCTCAAAATACTTACTTTGCATAGTCCATTTTTTTTTGCCTATGTGGGACCCAAGGTGGGTTAACACATGCTTAAAACTATACTAAAGTCATCCAACCCTAGAGGAGCCCCCAGTGGTGCAATGGGTTAAACCCTTGTGCTGACAGGACTGCTGACCTAAAGGTGGTTCAAGTCCGAGAAGCTGGGTGAGCTCCCATCTGTCAGCTCCAGCTTCTCATGCGGGACATGAGAGAAGTCTCTCACAGGATGATAACACATCCAGAAGCAACTTGAAGTTTCTCAAGTCGCTCCTGACACAAAAAAAACCAATAAAATCAAACCCTGTGATGATAAAAAGGTAAATCACAAATACACTCAAGATATTAAAATGTCACTAACATAAACAGCCAGGCATGTAGGGGGGGGGGGGGGGCTTGAGGGGCTTCAGCCCCCCCCCCCCCCAATTCTCATGGTGGTCCGTGAGAAGGCCTTACTGGTACATTATTTAAACTGTTATGTTTATTCATATCATGATCTGATCACCATGCTCAATATATCCCATATGCATGGGGGTATTGGGGTAACGATACAAAAGGTTTGCTAGGGTAGACCCTCTTTCACTCAGACTCAGCCCCCCCCCCCCCCGAATCAAACTCAGTTCCCCCCGAAACAAAATCCTGGCTACGGGCCTGTCAACAGCCCAATATCTTTAAAATATATTATAATTAAAAATATGCTTGCCTGAACTCAGTTGAACTGGTGTTAACATGCATAAGATGGCTCTGTTTGTTACTGAGATTTGAAATAAAAGCAGCCATGAATCTTAAAGACCCTCACAACTTAGGCAATGATAAACTCATTAGTTTTTTTTAAGAGCAAAGCAGATTCTTGATATTGGCTGGGGTTTGAATCCAGGATACCCATGGATATTAAAATATGTGGATGCTGAAGTATCGATTATGTTCAATGGCATAATATAATGGTATCCCTAATATATAAAATGACAAAATCAAGGCTTTGGGGTTTTAGTTTTGAATATTTCATGTCAAAATCCGTGGATCCAGAATGGGTGGACTAATAATAGATTCTTGATTTTGCTGCAATTGATGGGCTTGGCTACCTTTCTGGAAAATGGAGTAGATTGATTCCTGGATATTTCATTAACTTTTCATTGAACAACAGAAACATGTCCAAATGTTCGAGGATTCTATGCAAAATAAAACCAGAACTTTTTAAAATAACTGTGCCTGAACGTACATTGTCATATAAGGCAGTTTGGACCTGCATTATATGGTCAGTGTAGACAAGACAATGGACAAACTTCGATCCTCCCGGTGTTTTGGATTTCAACTCCCGCAATTCCTAACAGTATCGGCTGTTATGAATTGTGAGAGTTGAAATCCAAAATACCTGGAGGACCGAAGTTTGCCCATGCCTGGTGTAGACCCATAAACTGCCTTATATGGGTCTACATACTGACCATATAATGCAAGTCCAAACTGTTTAATATGGGTCAGGCCCGTAGCCAGGATTTCGTTTCGGGGGGGGGGGCTGAATTTTTTTCAGGGGGGGTTGGGGGGGGCTGAGTTTCGGGGGGGGCTGAGTCTAAGTGAAAGAGGGTCTAGCCTAGCAAACCTTTTGTATCATTACCCCAATACCCCCATGCATATGGGATATATTGAGTATGGTGATCAGATCATGATATGAATAAACATAACAGTTTAAATAATGCACCAATAAGGCCTTTTCGCGAACCACCATGAAAATTTCGGGGGGGGGGGGGCGGCTGAAGCCCCCGGAGCCCCCCCCCGGCTACATGCCTGATATGGGTCTACATACTGACCATATAATGCAGTTCGAAATTGTCTTATATGGGTCTAATACTGATCATATAATTAAGGTCGAAACTGTCTTATATGGGTCCACATACTGACCATATAAAGCAGTTCGAAATTGTCTTATATTGGTCTAATACTGACCATATAATGCAGGTCCAAAATGTTTTATATAGGTCTACATACTCAGCACATAAAGCAGTCCCAAACTGCCTTATATGGGTCTACAGACTGACTATATAATGCAGTACCAAACTTTTTCATATGGGTCTACATACTGACAATTTAAAGCAGTTCCAAACTGCCTTATATGGGTCTACATACTATATAATGCAGGTCCAAATTGTTTCATATGGGTCAACATACGACCATATAATGCAACCATTTTATATGGGTCTACATACTGACCATACAATGCAGTCCCAAACTGTTTTATATGGGTCTCCACACTGCCTATATGGCAGTGGAGACCCTGCCTCAGTAATCATGTCAAAATAATATCCTTTCAATCAATAAGCTTGAAATATGCAGGAAAAAAAGAGACAAACTCACCTGCCAAGGGGATTGGAGAGAAAACACTACACTTTCAGCAACCCATTCCAAGAAGAGGATAGAGATGCGCTGGGCCAGCTTGTGGCACATTTTGGGGAAAGGAATGAAAATAGGTTGCCTTCTCCACCCCAGGAGGAGGAAAGTGGGGTCCACTCAGTGCCCATCTCTGGGTCACAAAGGTCTCGAGTCGCTTCTGATGGCTCACAGAAAGGTTTGCCAAAACAAACAATTTTTTAAAAAGCCCTGGTGGAACCAAGAGGCGCTGCGTGTTCAGACGAGACGCGAGGAAACCCGTGTCGCGCCGCTGGGGGGCGCCCTGGGCCCTCCCTCCGCAGGCCACAGTGGCAGAGCCCTGGAGGCGGCACGTGCCCCGACGGGAGCCCTCCAGTGGGCAAAGCGGTCCCTCTCTCGCTCTCTCTGTGCATACCATAACAAACTGTCCCTGACAGTCCCGCGCAGGGAGTCCAGGAAGGAAGAGCCCTCTGAACTCGCCCCACGTGCTCCCTTCTGGAGCGAGCCCGGGCCGGAGAGGGTTAACCCCGGCGGAGGGATCTCCCTCTCTCTCTCTCGCTCTCTCTCTCTCTCCCAGCGTGCACTGAGGCTCCGCACAGGACGCCTYGCGCACTTCCCCTCGCGCCGTTTCTGCGTATCCTTCCGAGGCCCAATGAGCGCCCTCTCTTCCCTCCCCCTGGCAGCCCCCCCTCCCCGCCGCGAGGAAGAGGGGGGTCACGACACCGCGCGTGGGCCTCGCCGGGCCCCTTCACGGGCTTGAGAGGGGCCGCCAAGGAGAGAGCGAGACCGAGTCCCTCACTCACTCCCTCTTTTTTTTTTTTAGCACGGGAGGGAGGGAGGAGGGAAGGAGGGAGGGAGGCGAAGCAAACCCGGAGCTGGCCCAGTAGGACCTACTTTCCTCTCTGAAAATGGCCGCCTCGGTGAACACTTTCCGTTCAGTTTCGTGAAGCCCTGGGTTGTGTGTGAGGGAGGGAGGGGAAGGCGAGGAAGCGGGGAAAGAAGGAAGGAAAGGCGGCCGGGCGGCGATGCTTCTCTGAGGGCCTCCTTCCTCGCCCGGAGCGGAGGATTAGGGCGCCAGGGGAGGAGGAGGAGGAGGAGGAGGAGGAGGAAGAGGTGAGAAGTTGAACAAAAAAATAATAATACCGAAGGGACCGGGAAGGGAAGGGAAGGCAGGAGGCCTGAAGGGAAGGGGCGAGCGGGGGAGGACGGCGGCCCCCTCAAGCAGAGGCCTTCCGCGGCGGAAAGAAAGGGGAGCCAGTGGAGGGAGAGAGGGAGGGAGGATCATCCTGAGAAGCCGAGGCTCCGTCCAGGCAGGGCGGGAGAGGAGGACAAGGCCCTCCGCGGTCTTCCCTCCCCTCCCCATCCCTCCCTTTGCTTTTGGGCCTCCGTTTGGGGGCGCACAAAGGAGGCCCGAGGCTGAAATCCGTAACAACCAGGGCCCGAGAAAGAGGAGGAGGAGGAGGCCTCCGTCGTCGTCGTCGGGATCAAAGGCAACCCCGGGGCTGGCTCCCTTTGTGTGCCGTCCCACCGGCCCGGCCTTATTTTGGAAGCAACAGAGCTCGACTCAGCCCCCCACCCGCCTTGTGCCTCCCACAGCCTCGGATATTGGGATTTAGCATCCTCCCCAAACCTAGTGCCTCTCTGTTTCGGGTTTTTTTTTTTGTCTTCAGCTCCTGCCTGTTTTTCTACCTTCCTTTCTTTCCCAGTGGCTGTCAATAAAAACCCCCACCACCTTTTTTTTTTAAAGGAGGGAACAAATGCACACCCTTCCTATTTCTGGAATTTTTTGGATAATGATTTCTGCTGGATCTTGCCGATGGATTTTGCCAGGTGAGGATTTCTGGATCGCCTTGTAGAAGACAGGTAAGGATTCCTTGTTGTTGTTTTCCTTTTCTCGTGTATCTAAAACAACCTGGGCCCTTCTACGCAGCCCTATATATCCCAGAATATCAAGGCAGAAAATCCTATCGGCTTTGAACTGGAATATATGGCAGTGTGGGCTCAGATAACCCAGTTCAAAGCAGATATTGTGCCGTTTTCTTGGCAAGATTTGTTCAGAGGGGGTTTGCTATTGCCTTCCTCTGAGACTTAGGGCCCTTCCAAACAGTCATATAACCCAGAATATCAAGGCAGAAAATTTCACAATATATGCCTTGAACTGGAATATGTGACAGTGTGGACTCAGATAACCCACTTCAAAGCAGATATTGTGGGGTTTTCTGTGTGGAAGGGCCCTCAGTGTCCTCCTTTTACAGCGGGCATTGAAACCGTGTTGATTTTATATAGTATTCAAGTGAGGGGAAATACATTGTGCAAAAGCTGATCAGGAAGGTTGGGTGAATGAGGGCTGCCGAGAGGAAAAAAAAACCCCTGTAAATATTTTCCCAAATTGACCAAGGGCTCTATTTGTTCTATTTCCTTCTTTAATAACCAGCAGGAGTGGGGAAAGGATTTATTCTTTTTGCATCCTTCCAGTTGAGTGTAATTGTGTATTTCTACATGGAGGGTTTCTTAATTTCTTCCCCTTGGCCTAGCAGATAGGAATCCAGAGGAGACTGTAGTTGGCCCTTTTCTCATTGTAACATACAAAGGAGGAGGGGGGATGGGTTGGAAGGGAAGTGTTAGTTAACAACTCATTAGAGGTTTGAAGCCATTCACCCCACCCCCTCCAAGTGAGATTCATATCCACAATGGACTCCCTCCTCCATACATTTCTTTTCAGCCCCATTTAAAACCGGTGCAGAGAGGCAAAGGTATCTTAATAAACAGGCCTATATTACAAGCAGGCAGGCAGTTTTATAATACGGCCGTTTTAGTCCGTGCAAATGGACGATACCCAGCCTTGAGATGTTGTGTCTTCCACTGAATACGAGTACCCTCCTGCCACCCGTTATTGTTGTTGATTTTAAGATTTTTTTTTGTAAAAATAAGATTGTTTACCCTGTCCCCTAGAATTAGCAGTGGTTAAGTCAAATGGCTTACTGCCTCATGAGCACACACTTTTCCCAAAGCGAAGCCGCCCCTGAGGCAAGGCCTACTTTTGCCTAGCAGCCCTCCGGAGATCAGCTCAGCCTGCATTGGATTATGGAGGAGTCCAAAGGGATTTGCTCCAGGGAGAAGGGGCTGGGGGTTGGGGAAGAGAATTGTATTGGTATTTTCTTTCTCTCCAAGCCAGCATTCTCTTAGATGCTTGGTTATGTTGCTACAGTTTGGTGTGTGAGTGTGTGTATCTACTGTATCTCCTTGTCAAGCTGCTGAAATCCATAGTCTTGGTGTAGGTTGCTGTAAAAGCACTTCCAGACATGGGCCACTAGAATGAGGAACTCAACTTCATACTCAACAGAATTGCACAGATCTAATCTTTTTTTGGAAGGGGGGGGGGTCTCATATTGAGCATTGTGCCTCAATTAAATAAACATCTCTCCTTTCTGGCTATTATCCTCTGGGAGTGTATTGGCCACACCTGTTGCACTCTGTGTATCAGTTAACTCTCACAGTTGGATTTTCAACCTCTGAAGGAAAAAAAGGCATGGAAGGGAAAATCTCTTCTTGTCTTGACAGTGGGGGAGACAGCAGCTGAATAGCAACTGGTTTTGTGGATGGCAATGTGGTATGCGTGTGTCTGTACCCATTCTTGTATGTGTCCTTCATAAGATATGCTTTGTCTTATGATAAGGAACAGAGCTCACCTGTGGTTGTCCTGGATGATGCAAGTGCTGTTTTCAAATCCCATTACTGACATAACTATTTTTGGAGAACAGTTGTACCAGGGATTGCTGGATCCTTGACCTTTCATGCACACAGAGATTTCCAAAGAGGTATTCATTGTGTAATGTACCAAAAAAGCACCTTTGTTGTTGCCAAGTGATGGTGTTACCTCTGACAGCTTCTCATATTTTCCTGCCCAAGTGATGACCATACATCTACATTGTGTATTGCTTCAGTGCAAGGTTTGGCCAGATAACATCCAGTGGAATCCTGAGGTTCGTGTTTTAGTGAGACACTGCAGTTTTCTGGCAAGGAATTCAAAATGCTCCTTTCTGAACTGCAGATTGTAGGGTTTCATAGGGTGTTGCCATGGCAATTAGTGGAATCATAGCACTATAACTGTGCAATGTGATAGGGTCACTGGTCATGTTAGATATAGAACTCTTGCTGTCTTCTGTTCTGGTACTGTTCGTACTACAAAAATACACTTCATTATCCTGTTATCATCGAACACTTGTGAAATGAATTTAATACTGCTCAAGAACTTCTTCAGATCTTTTGATTTCCTTGTCATTTTTAGATTGTTATGACTTGGGGAAGAGAACAAAGCACTCGGCTTTATTCCTACCATTTTACACCAAAATAAATGTGAAAACAGTAAATATTTAATGCAGGGCTGGAGAACATTGATTTATGGCTCCTGTAGATGTTGTTGAATTAGCAGTTCTATTATTCTGATCAACTGGACATGTTGGATCAAGGTAGCTGTAGTCATTGTCTAACACAGGGGTCCTCAAACTAAGGCCCGAGGGCCGGATACAGCCCTCCAAGGTCATTTATCAGGCCCTCGCTTAGGGCCAACCTAAGTCTGAAATGACTTGAAAGCATACAATAACAACAACAACAATCCTATCTCATCAGCCAAAAGCAGCCCCACACTTCCCCATTACAATACCAATAAGTTTATATTTGTTAAAATTGTTCTTCATTTTGATTATTGTATTGTTTTTAAGTGTTTTTGCACTACAAATAAGATATGTGCAGTGTGCATAGGAATTCATTCATATTTTTTTCAAATTATAATCCAGCCCTCCAACAGTTTGAGGGGACTGTGATCTGGCAATGTGGTATGTGTTTAAAAAGTTTGAGGACCCCTGGTCTAACATATCGGATGCATCACAAATTTCCTAGTCCTGACTTAATAAAAACATAAACAGCATTATTCAAAGTGTTTATTGCAGTTAGCTCTAAAATGCACAATAAAAAACTTTAAGGAATACTGTCCTACCTAGAGAAGCCATATTGTGCTGGCTGTGGGAATATGGGAATTATAGTCTTAACATGTCTGCTGAGTACCAGCTGTGGGAATTTTCATCTTCAGCCCCTTCCACACAGCCATATAACCGAGAATATCAAGACAGATAATCACCAATATCTTCTTTGAACTGGATTATTTGAGTTCACACTGCCATATAATCCAGTTCAATGTTGATTTTATACAGCTGTGTGAAAGGGGCCTAGGGGTCCTTCCACACAGCCATATAACCCAGAATATCTGCTTTGAACTGGGTTATCTGAGTCCACACTACCATATATTCCATATATTCAGAGCAGATAATATGGGATTTTATTCAGCTGTATGGAAGGGGCCTAATTTCCTCATTGAAATGGGTCATGCCTGAATTAAAATTTAGGCCCCTTTTACGCTGTCATATAAAATCCAGATTATCTGCTTTGAACTGGATGATATGGTAGTGTAGACTCATATAATCCAGTTCAAAGGAGTGGATTATCTGGTTCGATAATCTGGAGTATATGGCAGTGTAGAAGGGCCTTACACAATTTATTTATTTATTTTTAATTTTTTTAATTTTTAAAAAACTTTTATATCCCAATCTTCTCTACCTCTGTAGAGGGACTCAGACCGGCTATGTTTTCTAGGTCTCTATGTCAATTGTTAAAGAAGAGACTAAGGATGGCGTATTTATGATCAATCCAGATGCTTTAACTGTATGTCAGTAGTAGGGCTTTATATGAAATATTCCTTATTTCTGTTGGTACCTGAAGAGACCTCTTGAGCCCGAGATAATCCAATTGCTTTGTTATAGACCCAGGCTTCGGGTTCCAGGTTCATGCTCCAAGATCCCTGCTAGTTTAAAATTTGACACTTAAAACAATGGCAGATGAGAAGTCAGCCATATTTTACCAGAAGAAAGCAAATTAGAAAAGGTGTTGGCTTGGTAGGGAAAAGAGAAACAGCTTGGCACATGGTATGAATCTCTGGGCTGTGGCAAAGGTAGTTTGAGAGAATGTTCTTCCTAGGTATAATATATGTGTTTTGCTTTTTTGATTTTATACTTTGCTTTGGTATATAGAACAAGTCTTAGAACCTTTGAAGTTACTGGCTATTTTCATGAAAGGTTTAGGGAATCACTGGAACCACAGTTAATGGGACCACTTCCATTATGTGTGACCTGCTGAGGTATCATGTTGGTTATTGCCTACTAAATTCAGCTTATTTAATTTTTTGAGGTTTTTAAATACACAGTCCTATAGTGAGACTATGTAAACACTTTTGATAATTCTTCCTGTTAAATATAATATATCTATTGAAGGACATATACACTGTTCAGTCATGTGCTAGGAAAAATGCCACCTATGGTACATAAGAATGTGTAAAACTTAAATATTTAAAACAGATAAACAGATAAAACAAATTTTTAGTCTTTAAAATGTTCACGACAAGATATACAAGGACCACTTAGCATGCCATTGAATGTTTTCTTATGGTTGGGTCATAGTCATAACATGCAAGATAGACCCAAATTAGAGTGTTTAAAGCTGACTAAAATTCTGAGTTAACAGATTCTGTCACATCACTAAGTTGAACTGCTGCTTCATTAGAAGTCATCCCTGTTGAAATAACGAGCATGCGTATTACACAAAATGGTATATTGTACTAATGGTATAGTACAATATTTATTATTTATTTATTTATTTATTAATGCGCTTGTATACCGCTAATATCTCAGCCTAAATCGGCGACTCATTGCGGTTTACAACACTTAAAAAACAACAATATTCAGTTTAAAAGCATAAAACACATATACAATACAAATTATTGGGCCACCAATAACAATCCAAATGCATCTCGT